CCCCCCTTGATGGAACATTCTGGAGGCCTCAGCATGCTGGTCCGGCCAGTCATGCTCTAGGGGCAACTTCTGATTGGTTAGGCTACTAGCGATCACGCACTGTCTGCATGATAGTGCAGGTTAAGGTCTCATTCCTCTGCCACTGCATCACCGAATACCAGTCACGGGTAGCCATGTCACTTAATGTCTTAACCAACAATCTGGTGGAGTCACATCACCTCCTAACAACAGTGTTCAAGGCAGACAGGTTGTCTACCACAAGGACACAAAGCTTGGGAACTGAGGAACTATGTACCACACTGTCCCATAACGCGAGATAAGTGACACCAGCTACAAAGGCCCAGAGCAGCAGGGGGGATGAGTCCTAGTTTTGGGGGAACAGACCAAATTAGGAGAAGGCCTGGAAGGCTATGTGGATGTGTGACCACAGAGAGACAGCCAACCAGAGACAGTCATGGATGAAGAGTCAGCAGGAGTCATCAAGGGGAAGGAGAATACAAAAGCAGAGATTTGAGATTAACAAAGGATCCCCCTTTTGCTCCCTGAGAGGGGTCTTCATCCCCATCCCTGTCCCCCAGGAAGGGTCCCTGCAGCCACAATGAGTTGAGGGCATGCCAGTAGCCCGTCTCATGTATCCCACTGGAACGGGGCTGTGGACCTCGGCATCCCACCTCCAGACTGCTGACACCTAAGAGAGCGAGCCTCAGAGTGGAGCCTGCATCCTGACCAGATGTATTTTGACTCTGACGATAGCCCTAGGATTGATAGATATAGAATCGCTTGGTTGTTTGTACTTTTGCTTTTCTGTTATCACTCTATCAATAAACTCGCCTATCATCAACTGGCAGGTGTTGTGGTCGGTCTGACTGTTGTGCTCACCCAGAACACAGGTATACGGGCTAGGTCCAAATCCAGTGCCAACAGAATGCAGCTCTTCCTTGGATCCTCTGAGTATCGGCTGGATCAGCTCTAAGATAGTCTTCATGTAGTTATATTTTGGTAAATGATTTAAATAGAAACTTCATTTTATTATGGCAAATACTTGTGCATTTCCTGGATGGATTGTGCCATTTGTTCAGCTACCAGTATTAAACCAGCAAAAGGAGACTCTTCTCAAGGGAAA